CCCCACTCTGTCTCTGGTGAAGCCTCTCACCGCCCCGAGCCTCTGGCCTGTACCCCAGTTCTGTATGCATAAATAAATAAATCTTTAAAAAAAAAAGCATAACTACTTAAAAAAAACCCTTAGTTTTTAACAAAAATGTGGGAAAACATTTCAAGAACCATAAAACCACTCATATATTCTTAATCAAGATTCCCTTGGCAATATGTTCCACAGACATAATTTCAGAGTGAAAAAAAAAGAGCTAAGAGTATCAACCATTTTAATATTATATGTAACAATTAAAAAGGAAACAAGATCACAACCATAATGAGAAATATATGATATCTGAAATTAATTAACAGCAGGGGGAAGTGTGCACAATACAATAATAAATGGCAAAAACACAATGCTAGAGTAATATTCAATATGTATATGTGTAAATATACTTTACATACATATAAAACAGAAAAGGGAAAGGTAATGAATAAAAGTAAAACTGAGAAACTACCTTCTTCGTATGTGAAAAATACATAAAACTGTATTTTACTTTAAAACTTCATATAGTAAACACTAAATATAGTTAATACACAATGCTTGTCTTAGATCGCTTAATAAATTCAGATACAAATTTTAAAAATTTCACCTTTGTGCCTAGTTATGTATATATAACACTGACCTAGTTTTAAACTAAGAACCTTTAAATGTTAGTGTGATTGTTGTTTTTACTGTTTAACTTCAAAATATGAAGTGGAGGGAAAGTAAAAGTCATGCATAACAAAGCATACATATAACAAATCTAGGGAAAAAATCAACATTAGAAAATAAACTCTAGGCTACAATCAACTTGTAACAATTACATCTCTAGATAAGATACATAAATTTATTTAACTTCTTACCTAAAACATTATGCTCAGAATAAAAACATTAGCTAACACGGAATTACATGTATCATGTCAACTCATCTATAATAACTTCTCTGTGAAAGGTACTATTTTATACTTTCTTCACAGCTGAGTAAATTGTGTAATCTGTTTGAGGAGAAGATGATGCTGGGATTCAAACCTAAACATCTGGCTCCAGAGTCCACACTAACAACTAAGCCTGCAGTCGTATCCCAGTCTCTAAGGTAACCTCAGAAAGGCAGGAGGACACTACAGCCACAGTGCCAGAAGCAGCAGTTGCACAGGCCGGCCACCAGGTGGCAGAGCAGAACATGACATGTACGGTAGCAGTTTTAAGATTTTTATGGAAGAGAAGCAGGAGCTAATCTTGGCATTGCAGTGAAAAAGGCAAGGCTGTGGAAGCCCGGGAAACTACTGAATGAGGGCTTTAGTAGCACCCAAAGGCCAGTATCAGGCTCTGCAGCTATGCCACAAGAGTTATATTTTCGTTCTCCATCATGGCGTCTACACAAAAGTTAGTCATTTATTAGAAAAGAAGGCTAAGCTGTAACAGTGTTTAAGTGTTAAGAAAATATGAATTCTTGAATTGTATTCAAGATAGGTATAAAAGGTAGGCTTTTATTACTCTTTTATCAGATTTTAAAAATTCCCTAAAATGCATTCTGGTCTTGGCCTACGGCAGCACTGCATCTAGCGCACGACCAAGTCCAGATCCACGGATGACGCAGGAGCAAGCGAGTCAACAGCGCACACACTTCAGACTCCTGTTTGTCAAAGTTACTTGCAATTCATGAAGTAACATTTTGCTTATTTATTTATAAAAACGGATTTACCACAGTTCCATTTATCTTATGTACAGAGATGAGAGTAAAACAGTTCTCATAACCTTATTGAGCTAGCACTACGAGAGTCCCGAGGAAGGCTGTAATCAGGAGGCCAGATGACCACTGCGCAAGGCGGTGACCAATCGGCACCATGTCTACGCTGGGGGGACGCAAAGTGAGCACACGGCGCAGGGCTGCCTGGGGACCCTCTAACAGCGAAGCAGAGTTACCATCTGACCCAGAAATTTCATTTTGAGAATTTTTACCTAGGAGAAATGAAAACAAATGTCTGCTGATTTATTGTCCGTGAATGTATGGTATATTCGTTACATCTCAAGTTGTTACCAGAACAATTTTAAAAACCAGGTTAATTTATAATGCTCTCCTCCCACTCTTCCAGTGTAAATTACCTCATAAATCACCACATACAGATTAAAGTAAGGCGTAGTCTTTATGTGCTTGCCAAAAGAAAAAGTACTTAAATAAATAAAGTATAAGTACTTTAAGGTGAAGGGCCATTCACTTTACTAGATAGTGGGTTATTTTACATACTACTAAAAATAAATCAACATCTACTTATTGCCATAACTTTGTATTTCTGCATAGCTCCAAACAGAAAACACCTCTATATGGATTGACAAAAAAAGACAAATAGTTATGCTAAATTATTTTCTTCCACAACAGGTTTTTATTTTCACTTTCTTAAGGCTCAAAGTAATCTAGCTAAAAGGTATACAGAATTTACTTTTAAAGATCATTATTGATCTTTTTAGACTGAGTGGCTAGAAACTTAAAGACAGGTTTCTACTGCAGTATGAAAACTGAAATTGGCTAACACTTTGTTTCCAATCATAATGTCTGTCCTCTTACAGAAGGCACACCAACAATCCAACCTATCAAAAGTGACTTGGTACAAAGAACAAAGAGTCACCGAACTTAAAGACAAAGTCAGGAATTTCCACTGACCAGCAAAGACTGTCCTGCTATGGAGGAGTGCTGAGCCCCCCAGCAACAAACTCGCCGACCCCCAAGCGTCCCAAGTGCCCCTGCTGTCCTGCCACCCCTCTCGGAAGGTGAACTGGCAGCCCCACCAAGG